AGTTGACACAGGTATTGTACACAGGTAAGTTGGGGAACTAGGGATCGAGCCCTGGGATCTGCATCAGCTACCTCGAACTGGTGAATACCGTTTCACACCCGCCGGCCTAGATTCGAGGTCCTCCGAGAAATTTTCAATCCAAGGCAGGACCTTTACCTCGCTGTTGTCTCTCGTAGGCCCGGACTATATCGGGAGCTGTCTCTAGAAGTTCAGATCTCGTAAACCAGCGGTCGTCTTCCGGTTCTTGACAACTAAAATGAACCTTGTACTGTTTCTGCGGACGACCCCTACCTCCGGTTCTGAAGACATCTTCAGCCACTATACCATCAATGTCATATCTTCCATCCATATCCGGTGGGATCATCGATCTACGGGATGGAAACTGATCACTTGTTTGAAAAGGTTATAACTTTGATGCATGGAAAACTGGGTAAGTGTGGAGGTGTGCTGGGAGTTCTATAGTATAGGACGGTCCATCTTCGCCGCCCTTGACTTCTAAGACCGGCCACGGTCCTCTATAGGTGGGCAGTAACTTCTGCGAGATGTTCTCCTCAGGTGTGAACTCTTTAGAACTGACCCAGACTAAGTCGCCTACTTGGAACTGTGAGGGGCGACGGTGCTTGTTGGCTTGCTCTATCATCCTGTGCTGGGCCTTTCTGAGGTTCTCTACAACAGTAGCTAGTTCTTTTTCGTGCTGGACAGCAAATTCCCTGGTCCCGGGCGGCAATCTGTGAATCTGATCCCGGCTAAGTCCTTCAAACGGTCTACGGGGCCTAAAGGACTTGTGCAGTTCGTTGGGAGTGCGGCAGGTGGACAGATGCACGCTGTTATTATAYGCACTAGCTACYTTAGGTAACATCTCATCCCAGTTAATCTGATCTGGCCTAATGTACATGCGCAGAACTTGCTGTAGGATCTTGTTCATTTGCTCTGTCTGACCGTTAGTCTCTGGGTGACGGTCGGACGACATCAACAACTTAGATCCATATACTCCCATGAGTTCTTGGCAGTTCTGGCTAGTAAAGCGACTATCTCTATCGCTAACTATTGACAGTGGGATTCCATTTTCACGAACCCAACAGTCAAAAAACCTCTGTATAACTAAGTCAGTACGTGCCTCTGAAGGCAAAGGAACAAAAACTGCATACTTACTAAAACGGTCAACTATGACCATGACTTGGCTCTTGCCATGCCTGCTTTTGACGTGAGTGTCCATGAAATCTACGGACACTGAGTCTCCCGGCCGATCTGGAATGGGCAAGGGTCTGAGAAGACCCAACGGGGCGCGCGTAGAACTCTTGTTACGCTAGCAAACCTTACAACTGCGAACATACTCTACGCAGTCATTCTTCATCCCTGGCCAGGTATACGCGCGCATCAGATTGGCTGAGGTCTTTTACCAACCAAAATGACCCTCCGTGTCATGGTATTCTCCCAGGATCAGACTGCGGATCTCTTCGCTATTGGGGATGCACAATTGGTCAAAAACATTAGTCTTCTCAAAAAGCAACCCTTCAGTAGTGCGGTAGTTCAGCTCGGTCTCTGGGGCCTCTTTGACTTTCTTAAGGAGCTCACCATAGATAGGGTCCTGCGCGTAGGCTTCTCTAACCTTTTGCTGCAGATCCTTCCCTATATCGAGGTAATGTACTATTGCCCCAAAATAATCAGCTCTTCTACTCAGAGCATCCGCGACTACGTTGTACTTCCCTTTGACAGGCTTGAGTTCAAAGTCGTACTGATCTATCTCTGCGGCCCACCTAGTAAGCTTAGGTGTCATCTTGGTCTGCGTCTTTAACCATCGTAGCTTAGGTGTCATCTTGGTCTGCGTCTCTAACCATCGTAACGTTTCATGGTCAGAATAGACTTTGAAGTGCCTCCCAAGCAAGTAGTGCTTCCAGTGGTCTAAGGCTTCCCTGAGAGCGTAGAGTTCCCTCTCGTAGGTAGATGTCGCGACCTTCTCTGAAGGCATTCTAGCGGACATGAACTCTACGGGTCTATACCCATTGCCATCGTCTTGTTGTAACACCGCGCCTATGCCGTATTGACTCGCATCGGTCGTGACGACAAAAGGCAAGGACGGATCGGCGACTTTAAGGACTGGATACTCTATTAATGCCTGCTTTAACTTCTTCATGGCAGACGTGCAGTCCTTATCCCACTTCCAGATGGTCTCCTTCCTCAACAATCTGCGAAGGGGCGCAGCGATGGTGGAGAAGTTCCTCACGAACTTCCTGTAGTAATTAGCTAAGCCCAGGAACGAGCACAACTCTGTCAGCGTACGTGGCTTGGGCCAATCTCTAATCGCTGCGATCTTGCTATCCTCTGGCTTAACGCCGTCTCCGTCTAAGACGTGGCCTAAATACAAAACATGGGTCTTCGCCCAATCGCACTTCTTTGCATTGATCTTGAAGTTAGCTTCCCTCAGCTTCTCCAAGACCTGCCTGAGATGACCCTGGTGCTCTTCGAGGGTCCTACTAAACACAAGAATGTCATCTAGGTAAACTACGACAAATCTGTCTAACCACGGCCTAAACAAATCATTCATACAGCGCTGGAACGTAGCTTGCGCATTGGTTAGTCCAAAGGGCATCACTATGAACTCATAATGCCCGTACCTAGTCCGGAAAGCTGTCTTATACTAATCATCAGGATGTACCTCTATTTGATGATATCCGGACTTTAAATCTACCTTAGAGAAATACTTGGCCCCCTGCACTCGATCTAAGAGATCGTCTATCCTCGGCAGTGGCTCAGCATTCTTCACTGTAATAGCATTCAGACCCCTATAGTCTATGCACATTCTCAGCTCTCCCTCTTTGTTAGGAACAAAGATAACAGGCGCTCCGAAAGGGGACCCTTGTCTAAATCTTTGTGCCAGAAAGTGGAAATCGACGCGGACTTCGCCTCGAACGCGACCACTTCCCTGCTAAGTACATCACAAGTCATAGCAGGGTCCTGACTCTTGTCAAAGAAGTGACCACGCAGCGCTTCGGGCATAGCCCGGTAGAAAAGGTTGACCAACTGGGTCTCTGTGACCTTGTGGTCAGGAACAGCCACTAACTCATCCATTGTGTCTTTGAGTGCCCTTGCACTCTTCCATTGGCGCGAGTGTATTCTCTGAAGCCTATCTGAGGCTTTGACACTACGGGCAACATCAGCAAATCGCTCGCGCAGCAGCTTCAGGAACTCAGTGAGGGACGTGAACGAGGAGTACGCAACTGGATCGTCGCTACAGTCGGCAGCGCGAACTAGGGACCTTGCAAAGCTGGCGGCCTCATCTCTAAGCGCGTGGATCGCAATTAGGACCTGCTGATCCGGGGAGACCTGTTGAAGGTGGACATAAGTCTTAACGTTAGCCTCCCAATTGTCAAAGTTCTCTTCCCTTTTTCCACTGTAGGAATCGGGGAATTTGACCTTGACCGGCTCCCTGCGAGGACGAGCCTCCTCCTCCTTGGGAGCTGCCACCTTGACGCCCTCAATGGCGCCGACGCAAAAACGCTCAGTCTTCTCGAGGCGGTGAGTCACCTCGGACCCCACAGCGCCTACTAACTCGAGAGCAAAGTCCCGTAAGCCCGTTCGCATCGAACGCACAGATATCTCCTGACTGCGGCTAAACTCATAGTGCTTTTCTTGCACTTTAGCTAACCGCTCAACACTCTGGGCGATGATCTCCACCTTACGTTGGAGATCTACTTGCGGAGCCAATTGCGTTGTTAAGGCAGTCCTCACCTCCGCTAGTTCTTGCATTGCTGCATTCGCCGCCTCCACTCTTCTCTTCTTCTCCCTCATCACTRCGAGCYTCCASRCCATCCTCTGTTCRTCCTCCATCGYCCGCYGCGTCAGAACATCTGCCTCTGCTTCCCATTTTTTCATGGCGGCTTCTTGCTCATCCTTGGGGATGTACATAGCAACCTCTTCCTCTTCACCCAAGGACAAGTTGGCGACCCATTCCGAAATCTTCTTCTCCATCTCATCACTGCTGCTGCCACTGTGCTGCCCACTCTTTTGCAGTGGCGGTCCTTCCTCTTCCTCATCCACCTCTTTCATTTTCTCCTCTTCTTCCTTTTTCAATCTTTCTTTCTCCTTGGCCATCTCTTCCTCAATTTTCTTCAACTTGGCCGCCTGCTCCTCCTTCAAGGCCTTCTTCTTGGCCTCCTTCTCCTTTCTCTCCTGCAGGATAGCGACCATCTTCTCCTCCTCCTCCTTCGTGTATGGCTGGGTGGCAGTACCACCTCGAGTGGGCCCTACTCTACACGCGAAGGTATGCCAAAACCCCAGAGGAAAGAGGAGACGCCAGAGGGTCCCCCAGAGGGAGAACCCAACCAGCAACCCATACATCGGGTAGTCATCCATCGTGGTGTTGGTGCACGACAAGGGTCCCACTCCTCACCACGTAGACCTACCCGAACACACTGACCTACTGACTGACTTCCTAAGGACCACAGGATAAGACCCTGTCAACTATGGTCACTACGAACCCGAGACTAGTCTAAGGCTGTCCCTACTGAACCCAAAGCTGATCAGGAGGCATTTAAGGAGATCCCCCAAACTCCGCAAGAATTCTTTAACGTCGCAGACAGGACGACGTGATCAGCTTGGTTCCTCTGGCGATTTCAGCCCACAACTCAGCCGTTCCGGCCTACTGTGCCACACCGAGCAGCCCGCTGGTCTGTACCGGTCCTTGGAGGGGTTCGTATCCCTCGGGACAGTCGAGTCGTCAGACACAGATCATCAGCCTTACTAGGTCCGGTAGGGGAGTGGCTCAACCAGGCCTCAACACTTAAAGACGGCCTTCGTTTCAGCCTACAGCTCAGAGTTCAGACCCTCTACACTGAACTCAGTAGACCTGCCGGACAGTACCGGTCATTGGGCTAGACGAGTTGTTTAACGAACGCTCGCCGTGCAGGTTTGGCAGCAAGGCCCTATCCTTCATCCACAGAGTCCTAACACCTAAGACAGAAGAGACTCAATGCAGAAAGAGTAGACAAACAGACTCAGCAAGTACCGTGGGGTAAATGCACATCCACAGGGTAAGGGGATAGGCTGAGGGCTCAACGAGATATCACCAACTCCAGCTTGGTCAAAATCTTGGTCAGCAGCTCCGGTCAACGCCTTGGTCAACGCCGAGTCGACACCCTTGGCCAACACCTGGTCAGCCCTCTGGTCAACCCTTGGTCAACCCTTCGGTCAACGCCTCGGTCAGCGCCCGGTCAACCCTTCACCTCGGCTATGGCTGCCGGCACCTTCACCTTCTTCACCCTCGCCGTCTACTTCCCCTTCCTTCACTTTCTTTCTCCTTCACTTTCTCTCTTTTTTTTTTTGTTCACCCCCGGCTATGTCCGCCTTCTTTCTTCCACCACCGGACTGCACAACATGCGTCACAGGTAAGTAACAGCCAATCTTGAATCGCTCATCTCTCTCTCTCTCTCTGTCTCTCTCTCTCTCTCTCTCTCTCTCTCTCTCCGTAGCGGTATCTTCAGCGCAGCAGGCAAGTAACCAATCTTGTATCTCTCATCTCTCTCTCTCTGTCAGTCTTCTTCTTCGTCGTAGTCTTCTTGATGCAGGTGCGCGGCGGCGTCTTCCACCTCAAGGTCCGCTATGGCGGACAGTCTCCTTCGGCAGCCACCTCGACTATGGCGCATCGGTCCTGCATACGACGGCGCGCGGAACAGCGGGTACCAGCTCCGATACCAGTGCAATCAGACTCGACTTATTCACACTTGTCTTGCATGCAAACAGCGATATAGCAAACTGGCGACATGCGCCCACACAGTACTCAAAGATATCGTAACCAGGTAAGAGTTCTCTTCAAACTGGCTATGGCGACTGAGCGCCCACACAACTCACTGTTCGCACTCTGGATCACCCTGGATGTCCCACACGCCACACTCTGGACATACACACAACACA